ATGTGCGTGCGTGTGTGTGTGTTTTAAAGCCTTCCCACACTCTTGCAATATTCTAAACGTTTCTAAACTCTAAACGCTCTAAAAGAGCACAGAATGTCATGAGTTCAGCTCTCTGCCTCCTCTGCTCTCAGTCACCTGCAAGAACTCTTGGCCACGCCCACTTCTCTGCATGGAAATCAGCTGATCAGCTGCAGCAGAAAGCTTATCCTGCAGTGTGGGCTGCACAAATGTGCAGCAGGTGCTATACCATTTAAAATAATTTATTTTAAATAAAAATTCCATGCTGATCATGCGGCCCATCCGTCAATCAGCCACGTGTGTCATGTCCAATCGTCTTCTTAAAAACCGCGATAGAGCGAGTCCGTGAAAAACGAACCGCCAAGTAGCGAGGGACTACTGTAGTGTTTTTGATCACATTTGCAAAACATTTATTTCTATTCAATAGTTTGAACTGGGCTCAGAAAGATCTTCTAATTCTACTCGTTGATAAAGATGTCACAAATTAAATAGTGCTCCTGAAACTCCACTGAACTGAATCAAAGTCGAGAATATTTTTGCCATTAGAGAAATTATTACAGTACTTGCATACAAATGTCAATTTAACCTCTTGGAGAAACAACACAGAGGGCGTGTGTGGAACCCCTAAGATACTCACTGTTTTCTTTTCACGCTTGATTGAATGTTGTGTAGGCACTATGATGGGGGTTGAGGGGGGGTACAGTGTCTGTCCGGGGTAGAAAGGCGGACCAGCTGTGGGAACGGGAGCGGGGACAGAGGGTGAGACTGAAGGGTGGTACCTGAGGGGATCTGAATGAATTTAGAAAAAAGAAAAGAACAGAAGAAGAGAAGACATTTTAGTACAAGAGTATTGACGTGAGCCCTCATGACTCGTGAGCTAACGAGCAGGTGTGTATTTGTGCTTCTGTGTGGTGGAAACTAAAGATGTTGAGGTGGTGGGGGATAAAAAGAGAATAGACTTACGATATGGGGCGGGGTACTCCCCCGGTCCTGGACCAGGATAGAAGGTGCCAGAGCCTGAAGGCTGTACAGAATACTGCTGCGGGGGTCCCACGAAGGGTGTACTGGGGCGATACTGTAAATAAGGAAGTTACATCAGCGAGTACACAACAAACAATTGGATTGGCCATTTAGTGGGACAGAATAGTTCATTATTTTCACTGGACAAATTATATAAAGAAAAATGAACTCTAAACCAAACGCACTAGTAAACATGTTGCTGTGTGAACTGAACGTGTTTCTTAGAAGATGAACACCATGCAGGTGAAGGTGTTTTTCTTTTCTATGCCGTTTGATTTGACTTGGAAAGATGTAGATTTGAACTTTTGTTCACAGACAGGTTGAAATGGTCTTTACTGCCGAGTGGTAACGTTGAGAAATGGTTGGCCTCACCCAGTTCAACACAGAGGTGAACAGTTAGGTCAAAATATAACATCTCTCTTTCATTTGAACTAGGACAGCCTTACAGAGGAAATCAACTCATCAACAACAACGTTGTCCTACTTTATATTTTGTCTGACAAATTATTTATTTATTGTATAATAAAAAGACAATAACTCCACTACGTCAACAGAACTGGCTTTTTATTGCCTTTAAAAACACCATGAACACACAGATGCCCACACTATTTTTGTTTCAGGCTAAAGTGGTTAAGATCATTTTAATCTCATTTATTAACATACATTTATTGATCATAGATAAATAAAGATCATAAAAGAGATTAATTTGTGGCAAAGGAAAGATAAAGGATGGAGTTTACCTCTGATTGACGACCACGTGTTAGGAGTCCTGCTACGTGGACTTGTCGTCGTAACCAAAGTCAAACCCCAGCTAGAAAATCGTGCTCTAACACAGCCTGTGCACTGCAGTGCCATGGTTTCATACAGCATATCTGTAACTTACAGGCTTATCTCCTGAGAGGGCTTATTAGTTGCTTGACATAAATCCAATTTTATGCGTTTGTTGTAGCCCACAAGACCCTGACAGCAAGTATTTTGCTACTGGCACAGGGGAAACACTTAATAAGCCTTTAACAAGGCCTATTTTATAAAACTTCATTTACATGCTAAATTTATATCATACTAAATCTAGAAAATCAAAAACTTCAAGCATACCGAAACACCGTTTTTCATAAAGTTCTTGACCCATTTCTAGTAAAGCACAGCAAAATTCTGTAGATTCAAAAAGTCACCATGCAGATTTTATACGAGTCCAACTCTAACTTCATATTTAACATGCGACTCTGCATCATTGGAAAAAGCATCAAGAAGATTTATCGTCATGTCCAACTACTTCCTCAGTCAATTTAACATGATCATCATAACAGAACTGAACGTTTTTGCTTTTTGTTCAGCTCATGCAGAATCATACTGAAGATAAGTACCTGCTACTTTGAAAGACCTAAAGAAGAACAAGTCACTTTAAATACGACGACTTGAACTGTGTTAAGTTGTACCTGCTGGATGTAGTACTGTGTGGCCTGCGGTGAAGGAAAAGGCATCGGTGCCATGGTCATCATAATGGGTTGATTAGTAGGGTAGACCGTAGCTGTGGGGGTCTGGGAGCCTGGTCGCATGGAGGCTGCGTTTGTCTGGATGGTGGGCCTTGCAGTCTGCATCTGAGGCCTCTGAAAAAACTGAGGGCAACGTGTGAAAAAGGAAGAGAATGAAACAAGAAGACACATGAGATACTTCCCAGAGGCTGTGGTTTCTCATTTCAGCTCTTTTCCACATGTCTACAAACATTCTCCACAGTGAGCTTTAGGTTTTCATCAACCCCCTAAAAAGCGTCTCGGAGCACCACGACTATTTATGGTTGTTCTTTCCACGTTCAGCTTATTAAATTAAACCTACTCTTGGGAATGAAATGCAGAGTGATTTTTATGAACATGGACACATTTACTCTATTACCTCCATAAACAATCTCTGATCTACTGCGGGGTTTACTCATTAAACATCTCTTTGAAGTTAGACCATTTATCAACAACGTCCAGTAGTAGGGTTTGCATTTAACATTTTCTAGACGCTTTTTTTTTTTAAAGCGTCCCAAAACATTTTCCATTCTACAATCATTCAACAAGAGCTCTTACACAACATGAGCCCACCACAAACTAACATGTAGTAACTGTAACCTTTCTGCTAGTGAGTCAAACTATTGCTTATATTACAGGAGATTCAGCAGGAGCCTTGAAGATGATTCACCGACTTGATCAAACCAAATACATGTATGGAAGAAACTAAAGTTTATGAATACAGATGTCTGACAACATGGTCTAAGTGAAAGGTCATAAAATATGAGCATAACGTTACAAAATAAAATTTGGCGTCATTATTTAGACAACTTTTTTGTCCATCTTTGTTTGAAAACCTTATTGTCCAGTTTAGAATTGACTTTATTTTCTCAATTTAATAAATTAAGGCAGCCTCTTTTTACAAAGTCAAATAAAAAAGACTGAAATCAACTACAGTTATAAGGCAACGTTTACCTACAGGTCACTAAATGTTTTGAGTTTTATGATGAATGCCATATAAATACATGTTTTTGCCTTACTTCTGGTGTTATAATATACCAGAGGAAGGTTTCAGTGTGATGGATAGTAAAAAAAGTTGACTTATGGTTAATTGTTTTACAAAAAACTTTGGAAAAAATGGTAAAGAATGCCAAATGCCAGTAACTTTTTCATTACTTGAAATGAGTTCAAATGAGCAACTTTTTAAGAAACAATGCAATCATTACAACAGCCCTTTTTTCTGGCACCTTGTAATGACAATGCAAGTTGTTTCCTAGCTGCACTTTTCCAGTCGAGTGCTTTATTTGATGCAAAGCCAATCACCCTGTCCCAAAATCAAAGAACACAAAAACAACTCTGAGCATCTTTCTGCCGTTGTAGTTTGTTTTGAAAGGATTATGAAGCAGAAACTATAGTCACAGATGAGCTCAGATTTATATACCTTAGACTAGAGCATTTATCTGCAGGACTTTGGGTGAGTAAACCTTGATTTTCTGCAAGTACCAACCATGTGGACACTCATTTTAAGCAAAATCGTGAAGCAGGCAATGTGTTTAAATGATACAGAAGCAGCTAAGATTTGTGATTGTTACGCTGCCTTCTGCTTTTAAACAGTTTCTTGTGCTTACAGTTGTTAGACTATAGTGTTTTTCTTTCAGCTGAGCCCTTCTTCAGGGGTCACCAGTTGTTTGGCAATTGTTTTACACCGGATACACTTCCTGACGCATCCTAGGCTCAAATTCACCGCCTCAGGATGACAAAACCTCATCACAGACGGACTGAAGTACCGCAGCCCCAGCTGTTTTACTATACTGTATTTACTGGGTCAGATAATTAGAGACGGGTGCAAAGATGTGAAGTTTCTGTTTAAAATGCCTATTCTGAGCAGAAATCAGTAAATCAATTATAAAATTCTTTATTTTATTACAAAAGAAAAACACATTACCCAACTTTAGCAAATACAAACTTCTGGACATCTGGATGCCTTCACTGTTCTGTTTTGTGCCCGACCTGCTTGACAAACTTGCATCTGTACTTGAATGTGGCACGTCTTTAGTTGTCACGCATAATTTACACTGCGTTTTACATGCATTTATATTTATGCATTACAGAGGTTTGAAAAACAGAAAGCACAGCAAAAGCAGCGGGGCAGACTTCTATGAAACAGATTTCATACTTCAAAGTTTGAAAACTTGGTGAGGTTTGTGTGGAAGGTAAAAGAATGTTGCACATTGTGCCATGCTAAAAACACTACCAACAGCGTTGACAGCTAGCTCAGACTGGGAATATGCAGTCCCGATCACCGTTTCCCTCAAGTGAAGGAGAGCAATGCTGTAAAACTGTCTCAAACACCCAGGAGGGTAATTACCTTTAACTTATTAAAACAGTCTCAGTGGCTTTATTGTAAATAGCCGAGTGAAAATCTGGGAAATGACCAGGAAACCGTCGATTACCAGCCTCCTGAAGACTGTCTCAGTAAAACTGCTGGCTAAGTAAGAACCAAGTACACAGACAAAACAAGTTTATAGCCATCAGCACAAAGGAGCGGTCCAACTTTGGCTGAAAACAGACCCTAAAACCAACATTCAAACCATTAAACATATTAAATAAAACAATACATTTTCAGATACTTCTGTCATATTAATAAGCAAAACACAAATCTACAAGGGAAATATATGGCATCTCTCTAATAGGGCATGCAATTATTTTTACATATTTAAAAATGAGTAACGAATGGAGTGAAGTATATTTTGTACAAATTTATGAATTTCACAAGTCCAGTAATGATCCTCTATGGGACAGAAGAATAAAATGATGATAAAAGACCTCTGCACTGAATACACAGTGCATTGAGGATGGTGGTGATGGTGGTGATGGTGCACAGGGTAAGGGGGGGGTTATAACTTATAGAGGACAGGGTCATTTCAGGATGACCCTGATCATGCCATGCATCTCTGCAGAGACGACACAGAGCTAGTTGATGTTACCTGGATGGGCCTGAATCCTCCCTGGGGTGGTGAAAGCAGTAAAGAGAGAAAAGCCAACGGAGGGAACAAACTGGTGAGATTTAAACATTCACACACATTTACACAGGAAACAAACGGTTTCCCTCCAAATAACACAGGAGTCGGCCTCGGAGCTGCTTCGATTGGCATCCAACAGAAGATAATCCCAGAATAAGGACTGGTTTATATGGATGTCAAACTCAAGAGCCGCGGGCCAAACCTGGTCCCCCAAGATGATCATTTAAATGTAAAATATTGTACCTCTTCTCATTTTTTTCTTTGAAAACAACTGATAAACACATCATTTAGTAGACTTCTCTTGCCGGCTGGTTAACTTTGAAGCCAGAAAGAAGGTTGGATCATTCTGTCATTATTGATTCTGATGTGAAAAGAGCAACAGAACGTCAAATGACACTGATCAAACTCTTGTTCATGAATCTGCAACCAAGAAAAGATATCGGGAATCTGACTCGAGCTAATGCATCGGCTGAAAGTGGCCCGTGCATCGGACAAAGTTTTTACATTTTGGCTCCTTTTGGTAACAGAGTTCTACGCCCCTAGGTGGTGATTTGTGGGAAGAATCTGTCAAAATCACAAACCGTTCTTTGCCTGGTGTCGTGTGCGGCGCCGATATGACATGTATGGTTGTAAATATGTTAGAGTTGCACGCATTTAAATCTTAAAACACTACGGTACAAAGTGCTCAGTGGGCTCAAGTTTAACATGATACGGTTTAAACTGTAAATAAAGCTGAAACCATCATGCACAATAAATTTTTTTTTTTAAAAAGTGTTTCTTTTAGTAAATTTCCAATTACAACTTCAAATCCGCCCAAGTACTGCGGGTGCTCATGCACGCTCCTCTGCTCACACAGACTCATGTTCGTGCTGCTGTTTGGAATATTGTTTTTATGCTATTAGTGCTTAGCATATTTTTAGTTGATGTTTTTTTAGTTCATATCTTAGATCTTATTACTGTTCATCTGTTACATTTTATTGTTGGATGTAACTGGGACTCGTGTACATAAGTTCGTGTGGTGGAACGACAATAAAGAAACTCTGACTCTGATATATTTAGTATACATATTAACCTAAATTTGTTACATTCAAAACAACTTTTAAAGGATTGTAATTTAAAAATATGATTTTAAGAGCATTTATTTAATTTCATGAGACCCCCTCCAACTTAAAACTTAAAAATATATATAACCAAAAGACATTAATTTAGACTACCCATGTCTGAAACTGTTTCATTCAATAAGCAGTTTAGATATTCTGTCAAAAAGTTGTTGCTGCTTCAGCTTAGAGCAGAATTATCTAATCTGACTTTTGTTTTTGTCAACTTTAACTTTAAATCAAGCTGCATTCACTTCATGCCAGACCAGAGGTATTTGCAGTTTTACTTACTGCAAGTTGTCATTGGCATCGATACAAGTGGAAAATACTTGGTTTGACCGTCTGCTCGTTTGGTTGGCTTTTATGTTATTTCAACTTGGACCTGTTCAATTCAGTAAGAGTGGATAAACTGAAAATAAGGAAAATGGAAATACTTGAAACAAATTAACTTTCAAGTATTTTTGTGTGTGGTAGTGTGAGCTTTGAGGGTAGTTGTGTAGCCTTTTTGTTTTAAATATAAAAATGAAATTTAAAAGTTAAATGAGGGTCATTTGATTTAAAGGGTGATAGTGGAGACCTTCACTGACATGAATACTATTAAACCTCTGATAAATAAATAATCATGTAAATAATCAACACATATTTTCTCATCCCAAAGTGGTTTACCTCAGAGGTTACACATTTTTAAAACCATGCCGATCAAGTCTGCAAATACCTAATTTAATGCTTCGTCGTGTAATTTATTGGTAACTGATGCCACTTCCTTTCTCTCGCAGAGCTGTAATGTAGCTCTTTGGAAACAGATTCAATTAAACATGTCTATGGAGGAATAAAATACAAATGTTTCCGTGTTTTTGAGTTACTATTAACGTAAAGAAACAATAACGGATTGTCACAGTTATCTTTGTAATTTAAAAATTGCTGTCATCCTTACATCCTGTATAGTAGTGGGTTCTAGAAAGAAATCTGATAAAAATGAGTGACATCTTTACTACTTCAGTCCTACACAAGTGTCATTTACGTTATTAGAGAATCACTAGGAAATGCAAAGAAAATAATGGTTGGTTGTTCAGAGGTAAATCATTTCTGGTCTTGCACATAATGCACTTCAGAACCAGTGAAGTCGTTCTTAAACCGCTCCGTAACTGGGAACATGTTTAATCTGGCCAAATCAATTTTCTCATCCTAAGTCATTAGAGTTTGTTTCAGGAGAATAATAGCCGTTTTCTTCACGAGCATAAAGAGCCACTGTGCAGCTTCATCTGCTTTCCGATTCTACTTCCGTGGCGACACAAGAAATCTCAGCGCCAGTTTGTGACAGCCAGAGCATGCACTCGAGTGTGCGCATCAAAACTATCGCTCGCAGACGCACCCGTTACACTTTGACACAGCACTATTATTAGTCTGTCCAAAACATGTCCACACAGAAGCATCTAGAAGGTGATGCCAGACAGCAGGTTACTCCAGGATGATCTCGAGGAGCTGGGACTTGAACAACACATCAGTCTTGTGGCCGGCAGCCGCATGGATCGTCTCACGAACCAACAAACATAAAAGAAATCTGGACGCCACATGGACTGGATTTCAAAACCTAGACATGCGAGACTCTTAAGCATCCACAGCGTAACACAACATTTTTATAAACACTGACCTGGCAAACATCAAAACATTAACATGTCCTTCAAAATCTTCCCAAGTTAGTTCTGAGTGTCAAATGACTCAACACAGTCTGGTTCATAATGGACACAAGTGTCAGGCAGGAACGCAGACACTGAAACCAGTCAACAGGAAATCAATCTTAGCTGTTCTTCAATATGCTCAACCAGAACACCACATATTCCCGTTTATTCTGTAAAACAAGGTATAATCGATTGTTTTCTGTTACAGACGCGACGCAGTGAGCATCAACAGAAACTTAACAACCTCTTTCCCCATTTCAAATTAAAATCAGAAGTGAATAAGTGATAAAACAGGATTATAATAAAATTATTATGAAACAAAGTCTTGGTTTGCTTTTTAAAGAATCAATGTATCAAAGAAAGCTCGTTCCACATGTCCCTTCGTAAAAGAAACACACCTGAGCTTAAATCAAGTAGAAAGTCTGAATACCAAAGCAGAGTCTAAACACACTTATCCATGGCCTGCCCTAAAATAAAGCACCTCAATTTAAACAATATATTCTAAAATCATTTGCTCTCAAGACAAAACTAGCTGTGGTTGAGTATTTTCCTGAAATGCAGACAAGAAATATTTCCACTGAACAAAAACAGCTTTTATTTTTGCAACTCCTGAGGCGTAGCTAAAAACTGACAACTGATGAAACACGATCAGCTGTTTTTACTTTGACCTGCTTTATTCTTAAAACGACTAAAACCTGTTGAAGGGACTGCGACAAAACGTCGACACAGTGGCACCTGTAAACACACGCATACCTCCAACGTCTCCAAAATGTTCTTCAGGAAAACAATAAATGTCCTGCTATGAACAGAGGCACATAAGACTGTATTTAACTACTGTAATGCTCACAAGTACTTCTACTAGGGCTGGGCAATACACCGAAAATTAACCGACAACGAAATTTATAACAATGATCGACGTCATTTTGCCCATGTTAGTATTTTCAGTGTTTAAAAAAAAAAAAAGTCGTTTTGTCTTTTGGCTGTGTATAGGTAAGCTATGCTCATGTCCCTTTAAGACGCTGCGCTACCTGCAGTCTGTAGTCATGTGACTCCACCCCATCCAGTCTGTAACAAGTGAAAGAGACAAGTAGGTAGCTCTGCATACAAATTTGGAAGGTGTATCCAGGGGGCCATATCTGATTGGACTATAGGAAAATGGGCGTGTCTGGCCGGACACATCTGATTGGACGTTAGAAAAACGGGCGTGTCTGGCCGGCCACATCTGATTGCACGATAGAAAAATGGGCGTGTCGGGTCGGCCACATCTGATTGGATGATAGAAAAAAATGGGCGTGTCTGGTTGTCCACATCTGATTGGACGATATAAAAAATGGGCGTGTCTGGCCGGCTACATCTGATTGGACGATAGAAAAAAAGGCTGAACAATAAAAAGTCGTTTGTGTTAACCACAGACACATTATGTCTATGGTGTTAACCGGTTCGACATTAGCGGCGTCTCCATAACTTTTCTTTCCGCCTCTCTTAACACAGAACTTCCGGTTACATTTCAAAATAAGAGCAACATAACCGGGTAGTGGGGAGCATAGATATGGTGGGGAGAGCTAAATGTTTTTTGTTTTCGCTTCAGATGTTTCATATTTCATTGTACCCAGACCACACTCAAGCCAACCTGTGTCAGGTGCAGCTACAACCCAAGAACAAAAGAGAATCTTCTTGTGTTTGACAGTAGATTTAACGCTGGTTCTTAGAAACCTTCAGTTTTAAAAAAAGAGCTCACGTAACTTAACTAAAGAGCAGCAGATACAGTTAGCCAATCAGTGTTTGCACCCCACAAACGCCTATTAGCCAGAAACGCCCACTTTTGGCCTGCAGAGAACCCCTTCTTGAAAGAGACGGTGCAGTTGAGATAATGGGAGGAAATTTCGAATGCTGAAGCGGCAGCAGCAGGGGCAGCTAATTAAAAAAAACGTCATCAGTCGTCTGGCAATATTTTGGGTTTAGTAAAGACGACATTGAACAAAAAAAAGCCAAGTGTAAACTATGCCAAAAGACTGTTGCTACAAGCCATGGCAATGCATCCAACCTCTTCTACCACCTGCAACACAACCACCTGGTCCGATGGGAAGAACTTAAAAAAGCCCAAAGCCCAAAGCCCAAAGCTCAAAGCAAGGACCAGAACAAGTTCTTCCACCACCACGAGTCAATAGCTCAAGCGTTTGCAGGCTCTCAACAATATGAGCGAACGTCTAAACTAAAAGTACACATTTTCTTCATTTATTTGCAGAAGCTGTAGTTTTAAAGTTCATTAAAGTGACAATAAAAATGGAATTATGCCATCAAGATAAAGTGGCTGTGAATTATTTATGATGGCCTATCACATTATTTTCAGGGGTGGGGGGTTGCAGTCATCGTCCATTTACCGTTATCGAGGTGAACTGCTCAATCAATATATTGTGATATTGATTTTAGGCCGTATCGCCCAGCCCTAACTTCTACAACTACAAACATATGCAATGCCTTAAAAAATAACTAACAAAAACTCCGATGGATATTTTTCCTTTTTCAGATCACTGGTTTGATGTCGGACATGAGAACGAACATCTGATATCCAGAACAGAGTTCAAGCTTGAATATCTTGTTGTAATCCAGGCCTCAGAGGACACAGAAAAATTGTGCTCACCAAAGTATTTTACAGACAGTTAAATGAGAATTGTATATTTCCGTCCTAAAGTACAAACTGAACGCAGCACGGATATCCACTGGAGGACAAGAAGGAATTCTGCTCACTCGTAGAAACTAAACAAGTGCAGCAACTTCTTCCAGCTCATTAGGCTTAAACCAGGCACAAGAACACCTCGTGAAAATTTAAACATTTTAACCTGTTTTTACGGCACTAAAATCTTTTAGATGTGAGATTTTTAAAGCAACAGTGGACTCCCTCACAAAAGCCTTTTTTTTCTCCAACAAGGACCAGCAAAACACTTTAATGGTGATGGTGCAAAAGGAGAAGCAGGAGGGGCATCCAGCAGGGGCAAATTACCTGATGGTGGGTTGGTCGAGGGCCCGTAGCAAACTGGTGCGGGAGTGAGGGGAGGTCCAGCGGGGAGATTGAAGCAGTGATGGCAAAGCAGGGAGAACAGAGAGCACAGGAGACAGTTATGGCATAAAACAAGCGATGGAGGCAGACACTTGAAAACAAACACAACAAACGTTTAAAGAAACTTGGCACATGATGCAGGACCAGCCTTTTAAGCATACCATGTAATTTAGACATTAATTCAGATAGTTTATTTATGCTTACAAGACAATTCAGACATTTTGACAGTATACAAAATATGTGTAATTTCATACTTTGAATCCCTTTCTACTAAGCTAAATATATATATTAGTCTTGGTGATAAGCCTTATACATGTAACCATATAGTCTGTAAAGATCCACTGACTGAGATCTAGTTGTTTTTTTTTACTTCTGACGGATGCTCATCAAGAGTCGGTTAAGATTTATGAGTAATTCAAAGACATTATCACATCTGGGTATTCTCCACTGGCCTTTCACAGGATTATCACATGACAGCTTTTATGAATTTGGCCAATCTGAAATGCAAAATTAAACAAGCAATAAAAAAATAAAAATAGTCGAAAATGACACAGCAGTCTGAAACTGTGAGTTCTGTAAAGGTCGAGATTTACAGTTTCTAACGGAGCAAAGATTTGAAGATGGAGAAAAAACACTAATACTGTTGGGGTGTTCTTTCCTCCATACTGGCCAGGCATGTAACATTTAACGTTCCTAGAGATCTTTATTTAAGCCTGCACCCCGATGATGCTCTTTACATTGAGGGAATAATCTTGTTTATTATTAGAGGTTTACGTCAATGCGTGAAACCTATTACAGTTACAATGGAAGATTAGAAAAATGAAACTTGTTTCCTTTGCGTTATCGCTGATAAGAACGCCCACAATGAGCCCATTAGGAACAATATGACCCCATTAAATCAACACAGCCTATGTTTAACTACCTCATCAGCAAAATCAAACCAAGATCAGTCAACAGCTGGCAAGCTCTTGGTGGTCTTCTTTTTTGTTCTCTTTGTCACATCACTGTTTTCAACAAGTCACCAAGGAAGCCAAAAAACTGGAGGAATAGAAAGTCCTCTGGAAATCTAGAAAACGGAGAGAAACTCACCGGGCGACTCTGCGGCTGAGCATTCATTGGCTGTGTTTGGCTGTGCGCAGAATACACTAAAGGAGCGGAGCCAGCGTTTTGCCCAGGGTTGTAGGGAGGCTGTCAAAAAGGAAAGAAATATAGAGACACTTAAGGAGAGAGTTTGTTGCATAATGACTGAAAAGTAAACTGCAATCAATAATGGCACTTCACACGGTACAGGACATGCAGTTCAGAACTAAACCCCATGCATCGCAGCGCTAACGCATGCTGAATGTTGATGGGAGAAAGTGGAGTTTATGTACTCCAAAGATAATTGGTACCCTCGAGCACCGCAAATCCCATGTTCCTTTATTCTTCATCTAGTGTGGCAGAGGAGGGTTTAAGCAGATTTTCCTTGTTTCTTTAAGCATCTGCTGCTGCTGTCATCGTGATGACTGAACTTTGTGCTGGCTAACACGGATATTTATAGAAGGCGAGTGACATGAGCTGGTTTGGGGTGAGGCAGTGGGCCAGTAGGCTATAATGACAAAGAGGGACAACTAGATTCCTCACATGCACAGTTACATACATCCAGAGATGCTGAGTCACAGTGTCAACATGCCTGTAGGTGAGCGGAGCAAGACGGTCACAAATGCAAGTAATACGACATCACTGTCTGAAATGAACTGAACGGAAACTTTAAAAGGTACTTTTACAAAATGGTAAGGGAGTATTCAAACACCCTCACTGGAGGAGAGAACGGTGAGTATATTATGTAATAAAATGTTATTCCTCTTTTGTCACTCCCATTTTAGTTGTTGGCCAATCTCAACTTTGTCACATGTAGTGATCTCATGATAGTTGGAAAACACACAGGAAGACACACACTGGAACATGCTAAATATTTCCAAAACTTTATACTTCTTTCATAGAAATGACTCTTAAAAAATAACTGATGTCACAGTTTTCACTCAGAACAGAAGCCAGGTTATTTTTACTCCTATCCTTTTTATTTGCTCCACTATTTTTCTTAAACATTACCCAACAAACCAAAATCTAAAAATCAAAAGCGCCAGAAGAAATACTTTAAATTCAGATTTGCTTTATATAATTTTGTTATGTTTCTTAAAAGTTAAAGTCCCACAGCAAAAAGGCCACACAAAGCATCACATTAAAACAAATGAGAAAAATTAATGTTTGAACTGTGTTAATTTCCTTCTTGTGTGCTCATTTCTCAGTTAAAAAAAAAATAAAAATAGTGTGGATATAAAAACCTGCTTGTCTGTTTATGACTGCTTATTTTATCTACACAGTATTGACCCATTCTGAATCCAAATCAAAATGGTTAAACTAACACGTGATGCATGTTTGTTTGTTGACAGATGTGGACAGGAGTTGTTCTCATATTTAGCATTAATGACCCAATCGTTTTGTTTAAAGTGACAGCATTCGGGCACATTTACAATAATTTCCTTCCCAGCTATATTCACGAACATGTGTGATGAAAAAATAAGTGTGCAGTATTTGTCATGAGCAGGATTAGACAGCTCAAAGACTGAGTTGTAAGCATTTCAAACAGCATGACAATTTTATGGTAATATTCCATATTGTATGTACTACTAACAATGTATTAAGGTGTGCAAGTGCACTGGTGTAACATAATCCTATCAAAATGTTGCTATTCTACACGTTTAAACAAACCTTTGACTGGATTCTTGCGCAGAGGTTTAAATGGTATCACAACCACAATTGTAACTTTAAAAAAAAAGACCTTTTTAGTAAGGGAGATCAAAAGATAAAACTGCAGTTTTCCAAGTTTTCATATTTTAGCACCAGATTTTTTTTTCAATCCAACGAGCACATTGAGATTTGTCTTAAAAAAAAAAGATAGCAAGACTGAAGCAGAAGATAAACATAGAAAGCAGATATAGAAAGTTTATTTGACTAAGTGAGGAAAACATTGTGGGTGTTGGAGATAATTACAGGAAACTCCACGAGTAGGTAAATTTGAACAGGGCTGTAATTCATTAATGTAATAACACGCTGTTAGAGAGCTCAGAAATTACAGCAGCATTGCTCTGTCAAAGGGACCAAAGCAGTTCAGACTAGTGCTTTGTTATTAGTGATATGCAAATGTTACTCCAGCTTCAAACTTGTAAGACTGCCATGACGATTTGTTAAAGAAAACCACCAGGCTGCTCATTCAGACATGAAACCAACACTCTGCGTTCTCGGATTATCATAAAAAGCAGAGCATGATGTGTGCAAGGGTTTTAGACTTAAAATCTATTCTGATCAAACACTACTTGATTAAAATGAGCCATTCGTGCACACGATTCTCTAAACATAGAACAGAATTGTACAAAACCAGACTTGTGATAAATGTGCGCTAAACCAGCAACCAATTCACCTACAGTAATTAAATGTATGTCACAGACAGAAAAGCACAAATATAAAGACCAACAGTGAGCATGCAGAGGAAGACGGCTGCCACAGCGACAAACTCACCCCTCCGCCCGTCTCCCAGCCCTTAGGGTAGCGATATGGGGAAGCCGTGGGTACAGATACCTGAGAGAGCACCGGGGAGTGGGCATGACCAGGCGGGGTTCCCGCCAAGTTCGGATGTCCCTTTGTGAGGTCGGGACCTGTGAATGTAGGGCCGGCATGTCTGGGTACCTGCGTGACATAAAGAAGGGCAGTTAGGCATCCACGCAAAGTAGGATGAGACATATACAGCGTAGTGGGACTGGACAGATGATTAGTCTCCCTGCCTGCAGGAGAGTGTAAATCTAACACTCGGAGGTGTTGTTCTCTGTACGCCGGCAGAGGTGAAGACCTGCAGTCAATAAAGACTAACAGCAGGCTGCAGAATGGGCCAAAGCCCAAACGACATGATGAAAGGACACCTAGACCTCAGACAGTTAAGTAATCACATTACATTACTCATGTGTTGTAAACTGAAGGCAAGCGGTGCAACACAAATAAGCAGGTCAAGCTAAACAAGCCTCGCAGGCAAAGGCCAACGGAAGGTCCAGGGCTGACACCAAGCAAGAGCTCACAGATGGCAGGAATGAACATTAAGTAGTTTCAGCACTGATGAGAACACACGACGACAAATAACCTTAAACGTATCGTGTTGCACCTACCGGCATGTTGCTGGTAAAAAATTTAAGAAAAACACAGAGATCCTCGTTTTTCATTTTAAAAGCTAAAGGAGGGATTTAACATTATTCTACTGAACAAACACGGGCACTGATAAGTGGCATGAGCACAGTTGTGTGAAAATATTTATTGAAGTTGAAGCTGTTGTGGCGTTAGGATCTTGAAACTGTGAAAATTAGCACTGATCTGAAATTTTTAACGGTTGAGCTGTTTAAGAAAATTACAAGTAAATGTAGTCACTCATCTGTAGATGAAATAAAACTAAATAAGTACAATAGGACTTAAAGACACTTTTTGCTTCATACAGGAAACGGTATACAGATTACTCGCCATAATGGTTGGGCAAAAAGCAGCGGGGAAAGGTGCTCATACAAAATAGTTTTGACACTGGTTGCTGTGAATCACAATTATGTTTTTTAGCTGCAGAATTTAATGCAAGACATATTTTTAGACCGTCATTAAAACTTTGGGCCAAAAAAAGCCTGATAACTTTGCCTAGACTGGCACTGACTTCTTGGAGAGCGAAAAGAGCTGGAATCGACAATCACAGACGAAACATGAATTACAGTCAAACAAATCAGTAATCCAGATCGAGTTTAAAAGAAAAAGGACATTGTGTGCTTCAGAGAAAATGCAAAGCTGTTCAAAATTGAATGATCAAAAAGGCAAAAATCCAGGCTCCATGAAAATATGGGATTATTTCAGCGCCATCTTTGATCTTTGAATATTACAGAAAAGTACGCAGAGTTTTCATGATGTGTTTAAGACCACATCTTTTCCTTCTCTTCAGTATGGCAACAGAAACCCATACTCTGCAGGAAAGGTTAATGAAATGAAAACCTACTGCTTTCAGTCCTTCTTATCCCCTGTAGACAATTTGCAGAGAACACGTACGTAATAACTCCACCTCATACTGTTGCACAACTTGGGCTTTTGCTGGAAGAATGGAACTAATTAACCCCAAAAGTGCTTCAACGTTTAGTATCCTAAAGAAAGAAACCCTCAGGCGTTGTGAGCAAGAATAATGTCACTGGACTGGGACAAAAAGTCACCACTCCAACATTTTATGAAATATGCTGCACACCACAAGAACACTAAACTGAGAATGCAAAACAAGACGTTTGGAGTTTACAACAGCGGCAACTCGAACAAGTCAAAGTACGGTAAATAAAATAATTCCTGCATCTCGTGATTTTGTATTGCACTCAACCCACCAGGCGTTAGGGTTATTCTAATTTACTGTATCTACAGTGTCTCTCCCCGTTGCATCCCTAGAGCTTCTCTGCATGGCCCACTTCCCTCGGATGACCTGGGATAAAAAGACTAGCTGCTGTTGCCAGGGAGGAGTCTGCTCTGCTTCAGGCCGGCAGCTCATTCTCAACCTACAGTAGAGAGGGTGACTGACTGGGGGAGGGGTGGTAAGCGGCTGTACGGTGAGCGTGCACGAAGAGAAGGGGGAAACGGGAGTGACTGAGTAATCTTCACGTCCAACACGCAGAGAAACCATCTCATGCCACAAGCACCGTTTATTTCCACCAGTGTCATCATTCTTGCAGCGTATGAAAACAATCTTTTAGAGATTAGAAATCTTTGTTTTCAGCTCTGTTGTGCTGCAGCAGATAAAAGAAGCTCAGAGTTGAAATGGCGTTCTTTTCCTTGTGCAATCTTTCCTACTTACAATGCCTCCCACATTTCAGAAGTGACTGCACTGTTGAAAAGCAACTTTGTGGTCTCGTCAAAAAACGTCTCTAGGTATACTGCTAAAGCTCGTAAATGACAGAGATGAAACATTTTTTAAGAAGCAAAGATCCAATGTTTTCAAAGTAAGTGTGCAATTTTTTAGCTTGTGCTCAGTCAATATGACAGCTATCCACTTCACGTGTTAAAATCCATAAAGTGAAAATGACACTAACTTTGATGTTTGAGAGCAGCTTATGAATGATTGTTACATTATGTTTTGATGTTCTGTAATTACAGTGACTATGGATATTTAAGTCGTGGGAACAAGGGTTGTAATTTATTTGCCCATTAAAGAAGTATTTCTGTTGACAGTTACTCAAAGCAATGCAACACTTTACCACATTATTGTGATTTTTTTATAAAGTTAAAGGTTTGAGCAACTTCTGTTGAGTCTTAACTTTAACTAGAGAAATTGCAGTTCCTGTGAAATGGCAGTGTCACTGCTTATTGGTGAATAACTTGCTGAAAAACAGCTGAAATTGTCTAAAAAAACATGCTGAATTGTAGCTGAAATGGAAGAACAAGCCTAAATTAGCAGAAGAAAGCAGAAAGAACACATATTTGCTGAATTTGGTTTAAATTGGCAAAATAAGCGCAAAAAAATAAAAAATTAGCTAAAAGAATGTGAAATGAGCAAAAAATAGCTGAACATTAGCTGAAAAGGCAGAAAAAAGCTTAAACTACAGAAAGGAAATGGAAAGAGCTGAAATGAGCTCTAAAAAGGAGGAATTAGTTGAAAACAGCAAAATAGTAGCTGAAATATCAGATAAAGCTGAAACTAGCAAAAAAAAAAAAAAACTGGAAGGAGCATAATAGGCTTAAATTAATATTAAAAGTTAACAAGGTTGAAAGTAGCAGAAATGACCATGAAAAACTTGAATTTATCCAAAAACAGCCGAAATTAGCTAAAAAATGCTAAAAAGGTAGAACAAGTTTAAATTAGCAGAAGAAAGCAGAAAGAAAATGTTTATCCAATCAGTCTGAAAGAACCAAAAATGAGCACAAAAAGGTAGAAATTACTTGGAAAAAGATGAAATTAGGGAAAAAAATAAACAAACAAACAAAACAAAAAAAACAGCTGAAAAGGCAGAAAGAATCTTAAATTACCAGAAGGAAGTGGAAAGAGCACATTTTGCTCATTTAGGCTGAAAAATGTAGAAATGAGTGCAAAAAATGTGGAATTAGCTGAAAATACTAAAATTAGCATAAAACAGCTAAATAGTAGCTGAAATAGTAAAATAAGCTGAAACTTGTAGAAGTAAACTAAAAGAAGCATAACAAGCTGAAATGAGCAGAAACAAGTTAGAAGAAGCAGAAAAAATGTTGCAGTTAGCAGAACGGATATGAAAGGAGCACAAAACAGCTAAATATTTCAAAAAGCTAAAGTTGCACCAATACCAAAGTTAAAGCACCCTTCTCCTGAACGAGCTGAACGTTTTGACGATCTGATGAAATAGCACAAGAATCGTGGAACAAGATGTTGAAAAACGTACAGAAGAAAAACGGATCACAATAGAGTGAATGTTTCATAAACATTCACACAACAAAAGTTATCAAATGTATTTTTAAATCTCGGCGAGTCTTTTTGTTTAGTAAAACAAAGAACAAGCCCAATTCCTCTGCGAGTTTGCTTCCTGAAGCTGCTGCACCAAAATCCCCATCTTCTTCTGGCAGAGTACATTTACAAGATGTCCAAGCATCAAAAACCAAAGCAGCAACTACAAACACATGATTGTAAATACAAACTTAAGTAAACAAGTGTCAAGTGAATTTAATAAACAAAATGCTGAAGTCCAGACTGAATCAAATTCTGTCTGGAGAGAACAGCTTTCTTGTTAAGAGTGTTAAATCTTTTTAACGCTTCAAAACCTTGGAAGAATGTTGTGGACGCACACCTTCCTGCCTTTCTTTCTGTATTTGCTCAGCGTAAACAAAGCATGCTGGATTCAGCTCCAGCACACAGTACGTGCTCAGTGTCACTGGTTCCTGACCATTACAATACACCAGTATGGCTTCTCACACGGCTTTCATTAAAATCATTACTCTGACAGACAACTCTTAAATGTTATTTAAAACCAATAAAACTGTGTGACAATGTCTATAAAACTACTCTCACCTGTGGGAGGAAAGCGTGAGGAAAGCACGTTCATGTTTCAAGGACACGATGCGGTTACAACACTCCATTTATTTAATCTGTTACTTGGTTATTTTTGTTTTTCATTTGTGAAAATCCTGTGAATTTAAATGATGCAACACTTTCAGACGCTGTGTAACGTGAAACTGTTTGTAAAGTCTCTAATAAATAATTGAAAGTAAACAAACAAAATGAAGGTCTGAACACACGGTAGCAAGGTAAGAACAACTTGAATCATTATAAATCAACAACTGCAAAAAATAAAATGATCTCAAGTTCGACATTTTAAATTTTAGCCTTGATTGTTGTAAATAAATATGTTAATTATAAAAAGCTCATCACAAATTGGTATAACATCTGTCCAGAATGCAAATGACAGAAAGACTTTGCTTGGATTAAGTCAGTTTTTTTTTATATCTGCGATTTGAAATGATAAAACACTACAAATAATTACATAAAATATTAGAATATACCACTGACAAAAACATTAATAAGAACGTGTGATGTAATTTGAGTCAAATACGTCGCATCAGTCTAAAAATGTCTAATAAAGTGGAAAAAAAACATAAATAAGTCGCATCTATTACGCGTCACCGCTGACCACCTGGAAACGTGGGCCGGTGTTGTGCAAAAAGTCGATTGGCTGCCAAATGGCGGCCGCAGGAGCGTGCACGGGAGGAGTTTAACTAGAATTTAACAAGATTAACACTTAAAAACAATTATTTGTTTCCTAAAAATTATAGCAAAGGTGCATTGTTCTAGAATTGTGCCGCTTGGGGTGGCTGCATGTTGGAGCAGCTCTGTAACTTTCATTCTGTGTTATTGCTCTTGAAAACTTTAATTCCTCTTTTTTCTTAATGTAAATCACTTTTTTCGGATTATTACTTCTTCTGGTATTGGATGCTGTGCATCTGGAAGGATTTTTACAGAAACCTTTTTACTTTTGGGCATTTGTTATGATGCGTAACCATGGCGACACAGTGTTTTTTAACAACCAGGAGCAGCTGATTTACATCTCAAAGCTCAAATACGTCAGCTACAGCCCCAAATGGGTTGAAAAGGAGGCACCGTGGTTGAATTTCCATCAACCTGGCGGCTGTGCTCAAGTACCTGACCACCAAGATCATGGAGCTGTTGGGAAACTCAGCTTTTGACAACGGGAGGACCGGGATCATCCCCCAGCACCGTAAGCTGTCTGTCCGTGGTGACGAGAAGCTCGGCAGACTGAGTGACCATCGCTCAGGGAGGAATTCTACCCAGCAGTCGGGCAGTCCTGCTACCCAGGAGGACAGAGAGGCCCACCAGATCTGACAGCAAGCTGAATCCAGGTGGATGGATCAGTATCTGTGGCCAGATTCTTTGAATTCGCTGCAGGAGATCCTTCCTGCCCACAGCTCAGCATCTATAACTCTTGAATGAAAACCAAGATGATGAGCTACGACAACACTTAATTTCCCTTTGGGATTAATAAAGTATTTTTGAATTGAACTGAATTGAATTGCATCTCAGTTGAACTTTTCCATAATAAATGAACTTTGACGGTCAAATCAGCTGCATTTCAAAAATGGATTCACGGCTGTGGGAGCGTGCAGAGGGAGGACTCGCTGCGCATTTCTTCAACATTTAACAAGATAACCACCTAAAAACAATTATTTGTTTGTTTGACATTATAGTAAAGGTGTGTCTCAGTCTAATTTGTCCTTAATAAATGCACTTTAATGGTCAAATCAGCTGCATTTCACCAGTGAAATGCAGCTGATTTGACGTTTGCTCCAGGAGTTCCGGAGCGAGACGAAGGCGGCTCTATGGCAAGCCAAGTGTCTCATTAATAGCCACTTTTACCTATTAATGAGACACTTGGCTTGCCATATTGCTCGAGGGCCTTCTCGCGGCCAAAAATGGTAATGTTTAAAGTTTCCATGTCAGAATGAATGAAATCGTCAGATCTCAGCCAAAAATTGGTTATAAATATGGAAAAAAACTGTATATTAGTCGCTTCGGTGTATAAGTCGTAGGACCTGCAAATTCATGCAAAAAGGTGCGACTTATACGGTGAAAAAAAGTTTTTTTTTTGTTTGTTTTAATACTATAATATTCTGAAACGATAATATTTTTGCTCAAGTGTATCACACCATTAAAGTGCCATACCAGCCCATACCTAGAAGTCATCAATGGAAACAAAGTCCTGCCAAGTCTTCATGATCAAATCTAATGAACCATCTGATTGTGTCACGTGATGGTGCTCTAGTCAGGTTCAACAACAGTTATGGTGACGCGGCTATGGATAAAGTTTCATACAGGGCACGTAGAAAATTCAAGATATGTTTAATAACAGCTGAAGGTATTGGTGAGTGCCAGAGATTTCCTGACAATGTAGCAATTTAAATCAGGTCAGATCTCAGTATTATTTTAAAATTAGTACACAAAAACAACAAAGATGCTCTCTCATTAGTTGTATCTGCCTTGCGATGTTAACTTGGTGCGGAATACATAAAATGTACAATCACTATGTTTAAGATATAGGTTTAAATGACAATCTTTACCGATGGTGTTCCAGAAGAGAACGTCCAACTTTATTTCTAATCTACTTGTAGAAAAGCTGAAACGAGACTCACGCTGTAGATGGCGACTCCAGGCTGTGTGGGGAAGATCCGGTCATCCAGCGAAGGCTGAACACGAGGGATTCTGGCCAGGCATGGTTAAAGACAATTTAAGACAGCTGGAGAATGAAACTAGTTTAATGTTAAATAATAGTTGGGACAGTTCATCAGCTAAAATGTCTAACGTGGTTTAAGAAACAGCTAAATCTAAACACTGTTGATTAAACCAAAAGAACAGATTTGATTTAGTTCTTAGTCTTGCACTTGAGCTTGTACTTTGTTAAATATTTGGTGTTGACATAACACTACTGAGATTACATCACTCTCTAGAGCTACCTTTGTATGAATTGCTTTAACCTTCTTTACATCTACAGGGTTGTCCCTAAACCCCAGTGGCTTGCATAGTTAATGTGATGGATTCCCCACAACCACCCGACCCTAGGAGTCCAATCTCTCTAGTACATCATGTACCTTTACCATTTGGAGTTAAATGGAAAATCTGAAATGGATCTCTGGGCTACATCAGGAGGTGTGACTGCCAGAGTGGAGGATTCGACAACTATTCCTTTATTTAATCATCATTATTTTACTTTTGCTATGACATTTACTGTATAAATCTATAATGCTTAAAACAAAACATGGAGAGAACATTTCTTTACAGCTTCTAAAATCCAAAATAATGAGACTTATAGGTCAGAGGAAGAAAAGAGAGGAAAAATGTTGAATGTGGAAACATTCAAAGAGCCGAGGACAGCCCTGTGATTAGTAACCTGCTCAGGCAGCCGTCTGCGACAGACGGGCTCACACACCGCTGATCACATGGTTTAAAGGAAACTCAACGTCTGCCTTTCTTCCTTTCACCCAAATCACGCCTCCTCTCGCCCTGAGCTCTCTTCCTTTCCCCTGCTCCTGCCTGAAGGGGCCATCATCGCTCTCGGCCCCCTGCCAGCTACTAGTGTGTGTGGGTGTGTGTGTGTGAAGATAAAGCATACAGAATCATTAAAAATAAAAATGAAAAGGCTGTAGTTCAGAATGCAGAAGCACAGCAGGAAGCATTGTGTGTTTTATTGCTGGAGAATTTACAAAGACAACGCACGCCTCCACCACAATATACATACGCACACAGAAATGAGCAGCAATTAGAGGCTCGCGTTTAGAGATACGATAATCCAGGTGGAAAAAAGCAAAAGTTTGTGGGATTATAGCATTTAGTTTTTTTTTACTGTGCTGAGCATAGAGAGGAAAAAAAAACTGCATGAACGTAACAGACACCAATTTATGAATGATTCATCCGGGAAATGCTGAACTGCAAACAACAGAACGCAAGCGCCATAGTATTTTATGACTCAGTGTTAAAAATAAATCTCCGTCAAGAAAAAGGTAAAAGGCAAACGTTCTAATTCGAGCATTTTCACGTTGGTTTTCTTTGTTTTAAAGGACGTCAGTGCTTCAAGTTGCTGTTTGAACTCTATATATATATAAAAAAGAGCCTAGAATTCATTGAATAAATACATATCACCTCTCGTGCCATTGGTTTAGACTTGCACTAAAATATCGCAAGACAAAAGATAAATTAAATTGAGTTAAAACAAAAGAAAAAAAAATCAAATACAATTTGATAAATCAAAAATAGAATGTTATGCTAGTCTAAAAATGAGTATTTAGCTCCTTTTTTTAAAAAGTCCAGCGAGTCAACAAAGATATCACATGATCTATTGGTTCTTAAGGTACATGTGTTTTTACCACACCAACATTTATCTTAGTGTCTGTAAAACTGGCTAAGTTACAGCCATTTGTGTTTGCTAATGGCACTTGGCTTTGGCGATCATCTTGGATATAGGGATCAGTTGTCGATATACAATCAATTACACCATCCTGAGAGTTTCAGAACAGAAATGCAAACATGATCGATAAAAAAGGAGAGTTTGAAGAGGTGAAACCTCTGACAGGAACAGGTCTTTTTCCACCTGAACTCAGGTGCAAGCATGAAAAGTAAAGTATTAATGATCAAGTAAAGAAGTTCAAAAGAAAAGAAAAGGTTTCTCTTCCAACAAGAGCCAAACTGTAACTGTAAGAGTTGTAATTTATTATTTTAATGGCTCAGTCAACATGCAGATGTTTGCATTCTCCAAAGGGAGACCACTTGCAGCCATTCAGAAGATTATGATGCAACAAATTTGCTTCGTTCAAACAATGTAATGTGACGTTTGTGGGAAACTGTCCTCTTCAAAACACACAGGAAGAGGTGAACTAATGGTGTTCTGTTGTTCTAACAAGTTGTTGCTTTCATGACTGCAGAGAACCTTTTCTTTGATATCAAAGGTTTTTGGCTTCATATTCCCTGAGGTTTGACAACATTTAGTTACATAAGCATGCCGTGTAGAAGAAAAGTTTGTCTGCAGCTGTGTACAACTTTAAAGCTGTAACTAGAGAAACTGCATCTCCTCCAAAAATGCAGTGTGAATGCTTATTGATGAAGAATTTGGTGAAAACAGCTGAAATTAGCTAAAAACGTGCTGAAATGTAACTGGAATTGAAGAACAAGCAGAAGAAAACATAAATAACATATTTGCTGAATTAGGTTTAAATGAGCAGAAATTAATACAAAAATTAGGAAATTAGCTTAAAAAAGTTGAAATTGGCAAAAAATAGCTGAAAAGTAGCTGAAAAGGCAGAAAGACGCTTAAACAACCAGAAGGATGTGGAAAAAGCTGAAATGTGCAAAAAAAAGTGGAATTAGCTGAAAAAGCTAAACTTAGCACTAAAATAGCTAAAATAGCAGAAAAAGCTGAAACTAGCAGAAAAAAATAAAAGGAGCATAAGAAGCTGAAATCAGCAGAAAGAAGTTAATTAGGCTGAAAGTTGCAGAAATTACCAAGAAAAAATTGAATTTAACTGCAAAAAGTTGAAATTAGCTAAACATGCTACAAAATAGCTGAAAAGGTAGAACGAGCTTAAATTAGTAGAAGAAAGCAGAAATAACATGTTTGCTGAAAGAAGCTGAAATGACCACAAAAAAGTGGAAATTATTTGGAAAAACACTTAAATTAGAGAAAAACCTGCTGAAATTAGCTAAAAAGGCAGAATAAAGCTTAAATTATCAGAAGGGAGTAGAGAAAGCACATTTTTGCTGAATTAGGCCGAAAAAAGTTGAAATAAGTGCAAAAAATGTGAAATTAGCAGAAAACCGCTAAATTGTAGCTGAAATAGTTTAAATAACTTAAACTTTCATAAATAAACTGAAATTAGCATAAATTGGTTAGAAGCTCAAAAATGTTGTAGTTAGTAGAAAGAATCTGAAAGGAGCTAAACAGCTGGGAAAAAACAGCTGCAATAAGCTGAAAGAAGCTGAAAAAGGTTGTAAACTGATCTAAAGATTTGAAGGAGGTAAAATAAGCTCAATTCATTTTCTATAAAAAGCAACAGAAAAGGCTAAATATTTCAAAAAGCTAAAGTTGCACCAATACCAAAAGTCATAGCAGGATTATCCTTAAAGAGCTGAACTTTTTGATTCATGATTTGTTGGAATAGCAGAAAAACTGTGGAACGAGAAAGATGCTGAAAAACGTAAGGAAGAAAAATGGCTCACAAAGGTGTAAATGATTCATAAACATTCACACAATTTAAAACATTTACAGTTATTGCTATACAGGCCTCTTGAAAACGAACAAGAGTTTGCTTCCAGAAAGCCAAACCGACCCATTAAAACATGTAAAATGTTGTGATAAATGCTAAAACGTCTCACTGAATCAAGCACCGTACTCTTTCTGCAACACAAACACTTTGATCTGAACAAGTGAACAAATATGTAGATACCAGCTCATGTTTAAAAGAAGCAATGCTTCTTATTTTCTTCTGAAGAAAGTTTCCTTTGTCTTGTAAAAAATCAGAAAAATACACATCTTCAAAACGAAAGCTTAATATTATCACATTAAAGATGTTTAAAACAGTCTAGATTCAAATAACTGTTGTTCAGACATTAACTTTGAGGCTTTTTGTTTTCATCAAGGCTCACGTGGAGGTTGTCTAAGGGTCATTTCTGGCCTCAGGCTTGGATTTTGTTCATGTGTGGTTTAAACAGGGTCATGGTCACATGATCAAATATCTTGTGAAAAAACATTATTTTAATCAAGCCCTCCATGAGGTTGGCCAAGCATCTAAATGCATGTGGATACATTCTGCACAACTACAAAAGAGGCAGCCTGAATTAACAACATTACGCTTTTTGTTCATTTATCTACAAACACAGGTGGAAGGTGAAGCACAATTTGAAAAACTTGGGCATGTTCTTTATAGAAATGCTGTTTTTCTGAATGCTCATTTAATTTTTGTTCCTAAAAATATTCTCGTGCAAACAGCCCCGTTTCTAGAAATGTTTTCATCCACACGGAAACACTGTAGTTACTAAGCCTGTATGTGATGTGGCACTGTAATGCTGCCACAAAACTACATCAAAACCCGGAAACGAGGCATGGAGCATGCACACAAAGCTTACACAAACTATATTTAAACAATATTTAGATATACCTATTTATATAGCATCAATTCATGACAAAAGAATGTGTTGGGGCACAATAAGAGGAACAAGATGAGGATGGGCTCAGGCCTGTCATGGCGGCCATCTCCATGAGCCTCCATCTACCTGCACGGACCGAACTCTACAGACCCGTTCAGTTCTGCGGGGAAAACTTAAAAGTTTTCCATCTGCTGGACCCGGTTCTGGAGCGCAGCTGCTGCGGTCCTCATTATCATCATGCTGCTGACAAGACCTGCTAAAGCTGCTAACAAGACCACGTTGCTAACCGAACCACACTGCTAACTGGACCATGTTGTTAAGATAACCTCACTGCCATCAGAACCACTCTGCCAGTAGGGCCACGCTGCTGTAGATGTATTTCTTTTTCCACTTTTGGCGCCTTGTTTCTGTATACGACAAAGTTGAACATCTGAGTCATGTCACATTAAACTACAAAACCACTGAAGTGCATGACGGTGAGTGTTGACTGGGAGGTGGGTTGGTCCAAATTCAGTGACATAATGGATGCCTTCAGGCAGAATATCCAATAAAAATGATTTCTTCATGAT